TGTTTATTTATTTAATTTTATGGTTTTTTTTTTCGTTAACTAAAAAAAAAAGAATGAATGAATGAATGAATGAATTTCATTCACATCATTTTTGTCAAAAGAAAATATTATTGTCGACTTGAAAATTTTCTTTTAGTTCGTAAATTCGAGTCAAGTTTTCTAAAACGTTTATTTTCTCTCTCTCTCTCTCTCTCTCTCTCTCTCTCTCATATGAAAAACGTTTTTGAAATCTGGGATTCGAAACTGAAATGGGAAAATTATTTATCGACAAATCACCCTCTCCCGGAAAATTTTCCTTTTTATCGTTTTACCCATAAAAGAATATAAAAAATATCATCGGAAAAACGCATCGAGTTTATACGGAAATTCCCAAATGGGATAAATTTCATGTACGAATGCATGAATATATGTGAGTGAGTGTGTGTGTGCGCGGGTGGATCTGTTTTTTAAAAAGAAAATAATACGTAGTAGTGACATTTACGAATAAAAAAAATTTTCCGTGACTCACATATCGACTTCGAAAGAAAAATAATTTATTTTCTCTTGTACAGTTGAAAACTGAAAACTCCGCCATTTAAATCGCGTTAACAAGGAGAAGATAATTAATTTTGTTGTACGGCTCTTATGAAAGTATTCATTCATACATACATATTATTCGAGAACGATATTAAAAAAAAAAAAAAAATTGGCAACGTTGCATATCAGTTGTGTCAATATTTTCCTTGTATTAATTTCTGAAAGATTCGTAGAATTTTCTTTACTACTACTACTACTACTACTGTAGTTGAAAAACGAATAAAAAAAAACTGCAGGGAAAATTTTCGAAAAAAAAAAAAAAACAAAATTTTCCTCGATGTCTGTGACGTAATACGACGTCGCCGATTTTCACTCGATTGAATGAAAATGGAGTTTTTTTTTTTTTACATTTTCCTTCTCATTTAAAAAAAAAAAATGCAATTTAATGTTTTTTTTTTTTTTTTTTTTTTACGTATAGAAAGAAATTCTCTGCGATTCTCGTTCTTGAGTCCTTGACTCCATTTACGCGTTTACACGAATAAAAATTTTATTTTTTTTCTCTCTCTCTCTATCTGACTGTCTCTCTCTCTCTCTCTCTCTCTATCTGTCTCTCCATCCATTCGGTAGGATTCGGTCCAATGCGTAGCCAAAGTCAACCTTGCTCCATGACCTTGTTGATTGACTCGTTTACCTAGGTAAGTGAAATAACCAAGGGAGGATACCAAGTGTCTGTTTTTTAAATATTTCTTAGAATTTTTTAATTGTTAAATGGAAAATTGAAATTTTTTTTCTCTCTCTCTCTCTCTCTTTTTACTTTTCCAACGATTCAAAACTTTTCTATTAAACTTTCATTTTTTTTTCGTTGTTTTTGTTGTTCTATGAAATTTATTCGTTTTGTTTTTTAAAATTAAAATTTTCACACGAAAATTATTCCACGGTTTTTTTTTTTTTTTTTCAATTTGATTACATACATGATGATTCGTGAAAAAAAAAAAAATGAATAATGAAATGATGATGATGATGATGATGATGATACAAATAGATTACGGGAGGGGGGGGGGAAATTTTTTCCTCGGTCCTTTGTAAATTTTTAAAGTGATATGATTTTAAAATTTAATCATATCAGCTGGTCGAAAAGAAAAATGGTGGAGATTTTACGATTAAAGTACGACTAAAGTAAATTTTTATTTATTTATTTATTGTTTTATTATCGTATTGCAACGTACCTTTTTTAAAAATCTATTTTTTTTTGACCTCATTTACCTAACTATTTTTTTTTTTTTAATGTTTCCCCCTCCCCCTCTCTCTCTCTCAAACTAGAGAACTAAATTTATTGATTTTCTAAATAATTAACTTGCTCGCCTTGTGATTTAGGTTTTTGATTTTTTTTTTTTTTTTTTAAAGGATATCCTGTTTTGCATTAAGTTTTTCCGTATGAAATCAATGAAAAATCATTTTTTTGTTTGTTCGTTTGTTTGTTATTGTCTATTTTTAAAATCATTATCGCTCCAAATAAAATGATTTTAAATTTAAAATAAAACGTTTGTAATCGAATTCAGGTACGTGGAACGTTTGTTTGGGTAATGTTTACTTATCAAAGGTTGTTGTTATCATTACCATTGTTACCATTTTTATTATTATTATTATATTTTACATCACGTTTGAACCGAATTAAAAAAAAAAAAAAAAATTATTTCCTTTTTATTCTTATTTAATATTGTTATTATTTTTCGTAAGAAGCCTGAATGAATTTTATTATTATTATTGTTAATGATTTCGTAATGGTGGTAGTAGTGGTGGTAGTGGTAGTGGTGTTGTTGTTGTCATTGTTATTGTTGTTGTTATTGCTAATTTTATTAAATTACGTAAATCATTTCAAAAATTTATAACTTTGGTCAGGTTTTTAATTTCGCGATGGATTTTTATTTCTATTTCTATTGCTACTACCAAACCTGTGCCAAACCTAAAATTGTGATGATTTTTGTACGCATTAGGTAATAAATAAATTTTAAAACTGAGAAAAAAAGTTATTCTGGTAAAAAAAAAATGTAATTTCATACGTGGTTTAATGTTTCTCGTTTAATAAAAAAAAAAAAAAAGAAAATTTGAAACTCATTCAATCATCACGTTTTGATAGGTTTTTGTTTAGATTTCGATGTTGTTGGATTTTGCGTTCATTAAACTATTAAATCATATTTTTTATAATTTAATTTGATGATTATGTTTTCCATTTTTCTTTTCTTTTTTTTTTTTTTTGTTGGCATTTAAAGAAAAAAATTGTCGTCGTTTCGAAATGAAATTTTCCCCCCTTCCCGTCCCCCCGTTCTCTTATAGAAAATTTATTTTAGCGTATGCGTTAGTGTTTAAATGGATTTTTTATTGACCCCCCCCCCCCGCTTTTTTGTCTTTTTGCAACAAATGTACCGGAGTAATAACAAAGAAAAAAATTACCGAGTTTTCAGTTCTTTCCTTTTTTTTTTTTTTTTTTTAAAGCTGACGCATATTTTTG